TACTACACTTACTTATTTGTGTGGATGCATTCATGCATATGCCATAGTGCATGTGTGGTGTTCAGAGGACAACCCCAGAGAGTTGACTCTCTTTTCCACTGTGTGAATTCTCAGGATTGAATTGTAGTTGTTAGGCTTGGCAACAAGCACCTTTACCCACTGAGCCATTTTGCTGGCTTGACACATGAAGTTTTGACATCTGGTTAGTGAAACAAAAAACCTTTACCATCCCTGGAAGCCAGTTAATATGGGTAAAGGGGCCAGGCAGTTGGTTGTAGTCACAGTGTCATCTTGATAGCCAACAGCTATTGGAGAGTAGTTAGTCACCTGAGCTAGTGACTACTGGGGTTTCCCTAATAGTGAACTCAACAGACCTGATTGTCTGGAGGCCACCTGGCTTGGCTATTTTTCCTATGTTGCTTGGGAATCTAAGAATTCTTTCTGGGTTGGTTTTATGTTGACTTCATCTTTGTGTTTTCATCAGCTAATTTTATGTGGGTGTATGAGCACAATACATGTGGAAATTAGAGGACAGCTTGTGGGATCTACTCAGTCTTTCCAGGAGATGGGTCTCAGAGATCAAATCTAGGTTACCAGTCTTGGCAGGCAAGCACCTTTACTGATTGAGCCATCTTACAGGCCCTGTTGTTTTTTAAATTTTCTTTAGATTATTTTGTGTGCATGAGTGTTTTGCTTACATGTAGCTAGTGATTGGTACTCACAGAGGTCAGAAGAGGGTGTCTAATCCCTTGAAATTGGCATTATGGACAGTTATGAACTGAACCCAGGTGATCTGCAAGAGTAACAAGTGCTGTTGACTACTAAACCATCACTTCAGCCTCATTTATTTATTTATTTATTTATTTATTAATTTATTTGCCATGTATACAGTTGTACAGTGTTCTGCCTGCAGGCCAGAAGAGGGAATCAGATCCCATTAGAGATGGTTGTGATGGTTGTGAGCCACCATGTTGTTGTTGGGAGTTGAACTCAGGACCTCTGGAAGAGCTCTTAAACTTTGAGTCATCTCTTCCAGCCCCAGCCTCATGTTTTGTTATTTTGAAGCAGGATCTCTTTGCATAACAGAGGCTAATTTTAAAGTTGTAGTCTTCCTTTCTGTACCTTTGAGCTGGGATTATAGGCAAGCAGCACCACCTGTGCTGTGTAGACCAGGCTGGCCTGGAACCCACAGAAATCCTCCTATCTCTGCTTCCAGAGTGCTCAGATTAAAGACGTGTGCCACCACACTTAATTAAAAGTTATTGTTGAGACAGGGTGCATTATTAGGAATTGCAGTTTAATTTTATCTGCTTTTTAATTGGTTGTGGTTTTAAGTCTCTTCTCTTATAGTTTTCTCCTCTCTTCTTTTCCTGAGTCTTTCTCCCGTTTTCTTTGGTCTGCTGCAGAACTTGAGCCTAAAGTGTTAACAGCCCAGATTGAAGAGATTGCATCACAGAGTAATTTCTCTGTTATTTCTGTGAGCCGGCAGCTGGACGTTGAACTTTAGTTTTCGGTTTGGTTCCTTTGATAAATAAAGTGGGGTGTGTGTGTGTGGTTGTATTTTCTCCTGCAGTGCTGGCTTTTTGCTGTCTATACTTTGTTCCTGACAGGTGTCCAGAACACTATTTCTGTGGAGGGATATCAGGCCAGAGTGGAGATAGATGGCTTTGTCAAACCAGTCTACCTAGCATGGGTGTGACAGATGTTGCAAGAGGAAAGTTCTGGATGTTTTTGTGGTTGGTTTGCAGGGTCGGGTGCATATGTAGAACACTGTCACCTTTTTAGCTCTTACCCCTTTTCTTCATGTTTTCTTTTCCCCTTAACTTTCAGTTTCTCTGATTGTCATTTTCTGCCCCCAGTCTCATCTCCGGATTAGGGTTTGGTTCATTTGTGTATGTGTGTTTGGTTTTTCAAAAACGGTTTCTTAGTGGCTTTGGCTGTCCTGAAACTCACTCTGTAGACCAGGCTGGGCTAGAACTCACAGAGATCCTCCTGCCTCTGCGTCCCAAGTGTTGGGATTAAAGGCATGAGCCACTACTACCTGGCAGGATATGGGTTTTTAACTACTCAGGCACTCACAACATGGGGCAGGACTATGGAAGCCTACATATCCCAATTTGTAAAATGAGGAACTAGTCTTAATGTTTTAAATAGTTATGTTAAAGATTTTCATTTTATAATACTTTTCTTAGTTTCAAGGCTAGTTTAGAGGGTTTTCCTGTTTGTTTGTTTTGTTTTTTTGAGACATGGTTTCTCTGTATAACAGCACTGACTGTCCTGGAACTCACTTTGTAGACCACCTACTTCTTCATATAAGAGATAAGTTTTAGCTGTAAGGAAGTGGAGAATTGAGGACAGCTAGAATTCAATATCTGCTTGGTGGGCAGTCTCTGGGAAGATGATTGTGGCTTTCCTTGCTGATCTGAACATCTAGGTATAGAAACTTGACTCACAGGCTGGACACCTAGCATGTATCCATGCTATCTTTATTTTATAGTTAATTTACACATTTAAATTTTCATTTATTTTACACTTATGTGATTAAAAAATTTATTTGTGGTATGTTTGTCTGAGCCATCTTGCCAGATGCCTATATAATTTTTGAAGTCAAATTCAGATTTAATATATATCAGAGTAGTTCAGACCTAAGGTGGATTTTTAGTTTTTGTCTTGTGAGACATTTTCTCACTATATAGCCTTGGCTGGATATGAACTTGCTCTGTAGACCAGGCTGGACTTGAACTCACAGAGATCTCCTGGCCTGTGCTTCCCAAGTACTAGGATTAAAAGTGTTAGTTACCCTGACTGTCTTCTTTCTTTTTATTGGTGATGTGGTGGATTGCTCCCACGGATTTATGTATGTCTAAGTACATGTTCTACCTCTGAGTTATTAGTTGCTCCCTGATTGAGTGAAGCTAGCCTACCCACCCTCTACAGGTCTTGATGTCAATTCCCAGCCCTTACTTTTTGTTCTCTTGTTTTAACTCAAGTTTTCTGAGGGCTGTCCTTTAGGGAGAAGAATGTAAAGGATTTTAGACAGGGAGGTGTGGGCTGTGCTGAAAAAAGGGCTGGAGAGGCTGCTGGAACTGCTGACTGTAGGAGTGAGTGTCAGGCTGCCAGCAGCAGACAGGGCCGTGAGGTGAGTGGTGGATCTTGTGTATTGAAACTGAATTGCTGTAATTTTACTAGGTCAGAACCACACCAAAGGCTGCTGTTAGGTGTTGCTGTTCTCTGACTTATTGGTTGGTGCAAAAATCCTAAGAGGGGAAACCTTACCCTTATCGCAGGTGGGGAGCTCTAGATAGCTGGTCCCTCAGCCTCAATTTATAAAAAGAAAAACAGCCCAGAGGCTATTATTTTGTTCTATAGGCTTTGAAAATCTATTCATACATGAAGTTTCCCCAGATCTGTGTAAACTAGTAGTAGTTGATTTTATTGATGCTATTATTTTTTAAATAAAGCATTAACAGGTAACATGGATAAACCATATATGTGTATATGACATATTTTTATGCTTTGATGGGAACGTCAAAAACTGTTCTGTGCAGCAGTTTCTTGGGGTCAATTGTTCATGTACAAAAGTTATGCTGATCAGAAAGGAAGCCCAGGAATGGAAATAGACTAGTAGATACTTCTCTGAGTGCACTGGCCTGAGGCAGAAGGTTCTTTCCGAGTGTCCCAAGTGCTGGAGTTTAGGTGGAGTGGCCAGTAGCCAGGCATTGGAGTGTGCAATTCTCTGGGAAAGCTGGCTTCTAACATTCATTTTTTTTCCCTCCCTCCCTCCCTTCCTCCCTCCCTCCCTCCCTTTTTTGAAACAGTTTTTTTTTTTTTTTTGTAGCTTTGCTGTCCTGGAACTCACTCTGTAGACCAGGCTGGCCTCAAACTCACAGAGATCCATCTGCCTCTGCCTCCCAAGTGCTGGGATCAAAGGCGTGCGTCACCACTGCCTGCCCGGCTATTTTCTCGAATTCTTGTAGAATTTGCCTGTCATTTGGAGGACAGCACACAACAGACTTAGATTTGGAAATAGATTTTAGTAAAGGGGACTGTTTTGCTGAGCAGTGAGCCCACAGCATGAAGAGTAGATGGTGGAGCTCAGAGGCAGTCTCTGGCTTTGCTCTCATTTTCTCTGAGCCTGTTCCTCATGCTCTGACCTTGGAATTGTTCTGGGGGTTGGGCTACCGAGGCATCTCAGTTTTCTCAGGCTGGATTTGAGGAGACAACACAGGGAAGCAAACACATAGGCAAAGCGCACCATAGAAATGTTATTGTTTGGAGTAATTAATCAGCCCATAATTCTCCATAGCAATTTTCCTCCAAGGTAGTTAAGTTTGGCTAGAAAAACAGTTGCATGTTTTGATTCATTAGTTGTCTGGAAATTCACCCTCCCATAATCCCGAAACTATTTCAGACCCATTACTCCCAGCCTAAATTTATGGTATTTGATTCCCACCATGCCCTTTAATCAAGCAGTATGAGAAGTGACAACTTATTTCTCAAGCTATTCAACGTGCTCCGTTTTCTTTCCTTTTTCTGTTCAAATTATTAATGAAGTGTTTGACACTAACTCAGTACCAGTAAAACTGAGAGAAAAGTAAATCGTTAGGTTGGACTATGAATTGAAGGACATTTTGTCACAATCATCAGTCCCACATCTAGGATTTTAATCTTCAGATTTATTTATAGACGAATGCAAGAATGAGTATGAGAGATGACCCTACCTAATCCTTCCAGAGTTTTGGAATTCTAGATGTGAGCCACCATGTCCAGCTAACAACAGGAAATTAAACATTAGTTTAACAGTGTACCTAACTACAGTTTATAATTAGTCTTAGCTTATTCAGTAACATCTTCAGTAACACACAAGGTACTGGTTTATCTTGATCAGCTCTGGCTGAGGAGATATCTTGAAGTTTTCTCCTTTGTAAGGGTGCGTTTTTTCCCCCATAAATAGTGTGGTGAGCTTGTTGCCTTGGATTCTGAGGGTGTGAAGACTCAGGATGCCTCGTGGAAGCCGAAGCCGTTCTTGCCGGGCTGCCTCTCCAGCTAGCCGGGCCCCTCAGATGAGGGCTTCTCTGAGACAAGGGCCTGCAGCTCAGCCTCTAGCAGCTGCTGTACCCAGGCAGCAAGTCCTGATGGCCCAGATGACACCCACTGTAGCTGGCGTGTCTGTGGGCTCTGTGTTGGGTCACAGCCCGGGTCATGCCATCACTGGGGGCTTTAGTGGAGGTGGTGATGCTGAGCCTGCAAAGTCTGACATCACTTACCAGGAGCCTCGGGGCCCAGCTGCTGGGCCAGCAGTCTCGTGGCCATGCTCTCTTGAGATTGAACAGTTTATGGAGTGTGCCCAGAACCAGAGTGACGTCAAGCTCTTTGAGGGCTTCAATGAGGTGTTGTGGCAGTGCAGAATTGCAAATGGTATAATCTAATCAAGAAGCTAAAACTGAAGAAATTGAAATGGGTTCTGCCTAGTTTATAGTGCAAGTGTGGACCCTGAGTAAACAAACCCTATTTCTACTAGCTCCATTGCTTCAGAATAGCCATGAACGAGTCCTAACTGTATAGACATCACTCAATTTGTAGTATTGGGGACTGGGCAAGCGATGGCCTCCTTGAACCAACTGTATTATTTTTTGTGAGTTATGGAAAATAAAATTGATTCTGGAAAAAGAAATGTATGGGTGAGGAACACTGGAAACTATGTAACATCCTCTTCATAAGACTTTGATACTCAGCTTTAGTATCTGGTGATGCTTCTAGATGCTTCCAACTGTCATTTCTTCTGGCTCTAATAAGTGTCATCTATCTGCCTGCCTATCTAATATCTTTTCTTTCTTTCTTTTTTTTTTTTTTTTTTGGTTTTTCGAGACAGGGCTTCTCTGTGGCTTTGGAGGCTGTCCTGGAACTCGCTCTGTAGGCCAACTCACAGAGATCCACCTGCCTCTGCCCCCCCAAGTGCTGGGATTTTAGGTGTGGGCTACCAACCCCCAGCTACTTAGCCTCCTTTTTAGCTCGTAGCTCAAGTGATCCTTTTACTTTAGCCTACCAAATAAGTTTCTTTTAGTTGGAATAGCATGTAGAAATCTAGATATGGGCATATGCTATATGTTTTCATTTGCTGAGACCTCTAAAAATTTTTATTTTTTACATTATTCATTTAACAAAGAGAGACTGAGAGTTTATCTTAGTGGTAGAGTGCTTGCTTAGCACATGTGGCTCTTCTGGCTTGATTTTTTTTTTTTTTTAACAAATAGTTAATTGTGTTGTAGTAGAATACAGAAGTTTAATGAGTGTCTTAGCTATCTGAGTTCTGGGATTATAGCAATGGTGTTTATACATATGAAATGCATGTGGAGATACAGTTCTTCCTAAGGTAGGTGCCAGTATTATGTGTCTCACCTGTACCTTACTGGGTCATTATCAGATTATCTGAGCAAGTCAGACGTGGCCACTGCTGTGACTATTGTGATAATTTTATGGAAAAAGAAAGGAGTTGGATAATGGAGGGGAACCCATTGGGTAGGTTTCCTGAGGTAGCAGCTAGGAGGTTGATATCTGCATAGGAAAGCAACCAGTTTGGTGACAAAACAACAACAACAAACAACCTACTTGACAGATATGACAGCTATTGTGAGCTCGCTAGACCCATATGATATCAGTTCACTTAGGGAACATGGCCTCTTGCTGTTGTGATACTTTATCATTTATCATCTAACAAATAAAGCTTGCCTGAGGATCAGAGGGTAGAGCTAGCCTCACTAGTTAGTCATACAGGCCAGGCAGTGGTGGCACACACATTTAATCTCAGCACAGAGGCAGACAGATCACAGTCCAAGGGCACTCTGGGCTACACAAGATTGAATCTGTCTAAAAGAGAAACAGGGCACACATAGGTGATCCTAGAACTTGGCATCACACGCCTTTAATCCCAGCTAGGGAGGTAGAGACAGGAGTGATAGGGCTGAGCGGACAGAGGAATTTAAGGTGGGAGGAGACAAGAGGATTTGTAGGGATGGATGCATCTAGGCATTCTGAGGAAGCAATCTGAGGCAGCAGTTTGAGAATCGGTCAGTCTGGAGATCACCCCTTGTTCTGAGCATCGGTAAAGGTGAGAACTCTATAGTGGCTGGCTGCTTTGCTTCTCGGATCTTTCAGTTTTCACACACACACACACCCCCCCCCCCCCATAGCTAACTCTGAGTTTTTATTATTAAGAACAGTTAGAATCTGTGCTACATCTTTCTGTGGATCTTAGTTCTTCATGTTACATAGGAGACATTAGCTGTTCAACAGGGTTGCTAGGAAGATCTTGGGTCTCATGCCAGCCGTATGTCACACCCAGAACATAATATTCCTCATGGTAGCTGTTGAGTACAGGGTGAACCAGTCTTTGGAACAAGCAGCGGAGCACTTAGTCTGCACAGACAGATGAGTGGCTGATCTGTCACTTTCAGTCTGTTCTGACAGTGGCCCTGTGATCTTTACCTAATGAGAAAGCTGGCTTAGGCAGCAGTTTCAGGTACTTGAGTTTGGGCTCCAAAATCTTAGTGGAACAAGGAACTATGGCTGCTACCCTGAGGAAGGGCTGGGGTCCGACTCATCATCCAAGATGGGGGTGGGTGGGGGGAGTGGGTGGGGGGAGTGGGTGGGGGGTGTGAGGTGTGGGTGGGATTGTTTTTGACAGGGTCTCACTTTTTAGTTACTATTTTGTTACTTCGAAGAGACACTGTGACCAAAGCAGTTTATGAAAGAAAACATTTAATTAGGGGCGTATTTGCTGTTTCAGAGGTTGAAGCCAGTGCCGTCATGTCAAGGAGTAAGGTGTCAGGCAGTGGAGCAGTAACAACTTTGATCTGCTTCACAGGCAGGAGCTGGAGAGCAAGGTTGGGCCTGGTGTGAGCTTTTGAAACCTCACAGCCTACTCTCCCAGTTATAAACATCCTCCAACAAGGCCACACCTACTCATTTCTCAAACAGTTTTACCAGCTGAGGACCCACCATTCAAATATGTGAACATACGGGCCGTTCTCACTTCAGCCGCCACGCCTCTAGCCCAGGTGGACCTCATTCTTGCATAGTGTCTTTGCTTTTAAAATGATGAGATTAAGTTGTATGTCACCACTTCTGGCCATGTGAGGAAAACTAATCTTTGTCTCACTGTGCAGTCAGTCCAATTTATTTTGGTTTTTTGTTTGTTTGTTTGTTAGTTTTGTTTTGTTTTGAGGCAGGGTCTCACTAGGTAGTTTTTGCTGTTTTGGACCAGGCTGGCCTTTAATTCACAGAGATCCACCTTCCTTGGCTTCTGGAGTACTGGGATTAAAGGTGTGTACCACTACCCCTAGCTTGTTTTTGTTTTATAAAGCTGTTTTTTGGGGCCAGAGCAGTGGTTTCCAGCCTTCCTAATGCTGCAACCCTTTAATACAGTTCCTTGTGTTGTGGTAACCCCAACCATAAAACTATTTTTGTTGCTACTTTATAACTTTAATTTTGCTACTGTTATGAACCATAATGTAAATATCTAATGTGTAGGATATGTGAAAGAGTCGTTCAATCCCCCAGGGGTTGTGACCTACAGGTAGAGACCCTCTGGGCTAGGGAGGTAGGTGGCTCAGGTCAAGAGCACTTGCTGCCCTTCTAGAGGATCTGAGCTAAGCTACCATACCCATGTCAGGTGACTTAAAACCACTTCTGACTTCAGGCCCAGGAGGACCCAGAGGCCTGTTTGACTTCTGCAGACACACAAGCACATGATGTACACACAGAGACATGAATAAAAAAGACCTTTAAAAAAGCTGGTCTCTGTAAGATTCAGGTTGGCCTCAAACTTGGGGCCCTTGTGTCGTTCTCCTGGAAACCTAACAGCGTTTGCCATGTTTGGCTCCTTTGCGTTTCTTTCGTTTGTCCAGTTTGGATTGCTTAGTGCTCACTTGCTGTGTGGGCTTTCAGCATACACTCCACATGTTTCTGTCTCACAGTTCCTGTGTCTTTAAAGTAGGGTTTACGACTGGTCGAGAGCAGTGACACCTAGTCAGAGACATCACAGTCTTTGGGGTGTGATCCTGGGAGCTGCTTTTAAAGCCTCTGCCTGGGGCTTCCACTGTGTGGCAGGGTTTAGAGTCCTTAGTCCTTGTTCTGAGCTTAGCAGAACTTTGTCCTTGGTTGAAGTAAGAGCTCAGCCATGCTTGCTCAGTGGTGGAGTGTTTGCCCAGCACAGGACACCTCTGTACCTCACCCCCACAAAGAATCAGCCAGTTCTACAAAAACAGAACAGGACATACTGTGCATTAGTTGAGAGTTTCTAGAAAGATGAATGCAACCTCTTTTCTGGTTCATGGACCTCCAAAGGCCACCAAAAACACTTGTTTCCTTGCTGACACTGATCTCCCAACACTGGAAATGGCTACCTTTTTCAAACTGGAGAAACAGAAGAGTAAATTTTGGTATGGAGTCACACTTGAGGAAAAAATGTTTGTGAATGTTCATCCATCAACCAGATAGTTATTGAGCACTGTGATTGCAGAACTGTTTGTTGAAGGGCGAATGTTCTAGGAGTGAGCATTTGAGGTTGACGTGGGTCATTATTGTGCTGTAGGAACAGCTCTGACTGTGTTCACTAAAACATGCTATGGAGTGCTCATTATTGAGTGAATGGTAGGGATTTTGGTAGGGGAAATACCAAAAGAGTGGTGAAGGAAGAGTGATCTTTCAAGAGGGGATGAGGATTAGTCCTGAAGATAAGTAGAGGACCCATGGGTGCATTATTCTCTGAGTTGGGCAGAAATGTGATGGCCCTGCTTGTGCACAAGTAAAATGCAGGACAGAGTGGTGGGAAGCCAGCCATACATATGGATATTGTCTGGGAATGGGAATGGTAATATATCACTGTAATCCCTGCACTGGAGCTGAGGCAGGCTGGTAATGAGTTCAGGGCCAGCCTGGGCTATGGCAAACAAAAGTCAGCCAGGCATTTAAACACACACACACCCCACACCCATAAACAGAGCTAGGGGTGGTGGCACATGACCTTAATCCTGGTACTCAGGAGGCAGAGGCAGAGGCAGGCAGCCTTGTCTACAAAGCTAGTTCCAGGATAGCCAGGGATATGTCTCAAAAAAAAAAAAAAAAAAAAAAAAAAAAAAGCAACAAAAGCAAAATGGGTAGAAAAAAAGCTTGGACAGTGCTGATGAGGCTAGTGATGGAGGGACGAAAGATGACAGGTGATTAGGGGATGATGGCAAGTGGAGATAGAAGAGACAACCCTCATTATCAGGCCGTTGGCCCAATTTTGAATTTGACTGAACCTCTGGATCTATGTGTTAATCCTTTAAACAAGAGCAAATGTTTTTATAGTATTCGTTTGTGAAGAGGTTGGAACAATAGAATGGAGTTGAAATGCAGAGTAGATAGGATTAATTGAGGTGCACGACAA